CACTAAAAACCCAAAAAATCAGCCTTAGGGCCAAATTATGGACTGCCTGGTAAACGTCTGGTTGTTAGCTAGCAGGTACCTGCTAGGTAACAACCAGACACTTACCTGTTGGCCCATAATTTGGCTCTTACTGTTCTAGTGGGAGTAGTGCAAACAAAACAGTGTTAGTGCAGATGAAACAGAAATTAAATCAATTGGAACACTTGAGAGTAACTAGAATAATAGAAGGAATTCAAATGGAATGAATGCAGATGAAATGCTTAGAGTAATTTAAATTAAGTTAGTGCAAATAGAACAGAATTGGAACAGTTAAAGTAGTTCCGACAATTGAACAGATCAATAAGAGTCAATGTAGTTGGAACAAAATTAAAACGCTCAGAGCAGTCAAAAAACGCAAAATTACCCAAAATTCAGATTAGTATAGTTTGAACAGAGTCAAAAATAGAATTAGAGCAGTTCAAACACAGCCAATGCAAGGATTTTTATTTTCTGAACTTATTGTTCTAGAGTGAACTGGATGCTGATTCGAAACTGTTCTGGAGCTGATTTGAATCGTCTCAATACAGTTCTAGAACTAGTTCAATGTCGTACATACTCCAAAATGTTCTAGAACAATTACGTTTTGTCCTAATCAAGTTTTTGATCGGTGCCATTAGTTTTCCTACTCTGGAATACCTTTCAATGATTCTCAAATCATTTGAAAACAGTTTTGGACACAAAACTTATTCAAGGTTATGATAATTGTTCTAGAGTAAACTGGTTGTTGATTCGCAACTGTTCTGGGGCAAATTTGAATCGTTTCAGCACAGTTCCAAAACTGGTTCAATGTCGTACATACTTCGGTGTGTTTTAGAGCAATCAGTTTTTATCCCAAATCCTGATATAAATCGAGTTCCATCACTTTTCTTACTCTGGAACACATTTTTGATGGTCCCTGAATCATTTGAGAACAGTTTTGAACACAAAACTTATATTTTCTGAACCTATTTTAGGCTATAATTGTTCTAGAGTAAACTAGATGCTAATTCGGAATTGTTCTGGGGCTGATTTAAATTGTCTCTGCACAGTTTTAGAACTAGTTCGATGCTGTACATACTCCGATTTGTTCTGGAATAATCACTTTTTGTCCCAAGCTCTGATATAAATCAAGTTTTTCATATTTTATGTTCCATTTTCAACCTAAACAGTCGAGGTAGTCCAAACATTTGAATAGTTCAAAAATATTCCGTGAACATGGAGCAGAGTTGAATTGTCGTACATACTTCAGATTGTTCTAGAACAGTCACGTTTTGTTCCAAACCCTGATAAAAATCAAGCTTTTAATCGGTGTCATTAATTTTCCTACTCTAGAACACGTTTTAATGGTTCCTAAATTATTTGAAAACATCCCGATATAAATTGAGTTCCATTACTTTTTTTTACTCTAGAACACATTTTTGATGGTCCCTGAATCATTTGAGAACAGTTTTGAACACAAAACTTATTTTAGGTTATAATTTTAGAGTAAACTGGATGTTTATTCGGAATTGTTCTGGGGCTGATTTAAATAGTCTTTGTACAGTTTCAGAACTAGTTCAATGCCCTAAATACTTAAATCATTCTATTGTTATAGTAAATAAAGCTATTGTTCAGTAGCATGTTAGAGTAGTTCGAACTTTAACAATCAGAGCAGTGCAAACAGAACAGTGTTAGTGCAGATGAAACAGAAATTATCGCAATTAGAATACTTAGAATAACTCGAATTAGGGTAGTTCGAAGTAATAATTAGAGCAGTGTAAACAAAACATAATCGTATGAAAATATGTCAAAATAGAAGGGTTTTCGGACATTTTTCATCAGAAAACGGATGCATGGCATGAGACTCCAGCCTGAGTACAGATGAAACAGAAATTAAATCAATTGGAACACTTAGAGTAACTAGAACAATAGAACGCTTAACAAGCAAGAATAGTTTGTGTTTTGGAGCGTTCTAAAGTAACCTGAAAGGTTCTAAGATGGTTTTGAAAGTTCCAAAGTGTTCTAAAATGGTTCTTAAAGTTCTGAAGTGTTCTAAACCATTCTAGAATGGTTATAAGAAAAAGTGCTATGGAGCGTTCAAATAGTTCTAATTTACATTTGAATTTTGGAGTATCATCCTAAAGCGTTCTAAAATGTTCCTGAAAATTCTGAACCAAATGTGAAATGTTTGGAATATGATTAGAAAGTTTTAGAACGGTTCTAGAGGGTTGAATGTTCTCTTCAAGCACTAAGCTAATTCTAAAGTGTTCAGAATCAATTTTAAAATATTTTTAATGCATGTTCTGTAGAACTTCAACTAATTTCTGAGTTAGTATTCGTTAAGCAGCTTTCTAAAAAATTCTTGAAGGTTCTAAAATAGTTTTGAATGTCCCAAAGTGTTCTGAACCATTCTGAGTCAATCGGTTCCGAATCTGGAATCTGGAGTTTTTTCAAATACTTGAGAGAGTTTTCAAATGGTTTTTAGAGTTAATCCAGAACACTCTACAAAGGCTTCTGATACAGTACCTATTCTGAAACGTTTTAAAATATTTTGAAAATTCCTAATTGGTTCTAAAAAATCTTAACATGATCTAAAATATGATAGAAATGTGGAAATTGGTTCCGGAGTGTTCTAAATTGTTTGAACAGCTCTTAAGTGTTCTTAATTGTTTCTATGTTGTCTGAATCGGTTCTGGAGTTTTAAATGGTTTTGAAAGTCTCAAAGTATTCTAAAATGGTTTTAAAAATTCATGTTACAGTGAAAATTATAATTTATTTTTCAGCGATTTAGAAACTTGTTCTAAAATGTTCAGAACCAGTTTTGAGGATTCTTGATGCATGAACACATTGAGATTGTGTTCTGGAGCATGGTTCTAAGGTCTTAAATTGGCTCTACACTGACACTGACTGTTCAAGTACGATACTAACCTGACTCACTCAAAATTGTAAGCTTTGCCATTAGTTCAAAAATTACATGTTTCAGGTGAGTGTCTTACTTAAACAGTTCAATAGTATATTGGTAAGTAGATGGTAGAATGTAATCTCTCAATAGGACTATTCGAATTAGGGTTTCGAAGTGTCGTAAAATGGAATTCGATTTTATGTAAAGTACATAAATCTGTTACTCATCCCGCAGAGATACACCCATAAGTTCTGCAGTAATCTACTCATCTGTACTTGAACCACTTGTTACATAAACCTAAAACTTATCAAGTACAAACGAGTGGATTGTTGTGGAACCCATGGGTGGACCTCTGCGGGACGAGCGCAGCGAGTTCCGCAGCCATCTATTTATCGATATGCTTTCCAAGTACGCTACAAACCTGATTCATTCAGTTGTGAGTTTTTGTCATTACTTAGTTCAAAAACTACACGTTTCAGGTGAGTGTCTTACTTAAACAATTCAATAGTATATTGGTAAGTAGATGGTAGAATGTAATCTCTCAATAGGACTATTCGAATTAGGGTTTCGAAGTCTCGTAAAATGGAATTCGATTTTATGTAAAGTACATAAATCTGTTACTCATCCCGCAGAGATACACCCATAAGTTCTGCAGTAATCTACTCATCTGTACTTGAACCACTTGTTACATAAACCTAAAACTTATCAAGTACAAACGAGTGGATTGTTGTGGAACCCATGGGTGGACCTCTGCGGGACGAGCGCAGCGAGTTCCGCAGCCATCTATTTATCGATATGCTTTCCAAGTACGCTACAAACCTGATTCATTCAGTTGTGAGTTTTTGTCATTACTTAGTTCAAAAACTACACGTTTCAGGTGAGTGTCTTACTTAAACAATTCAATAGTATATTGGTAAGTAGATGGTAGAATGTAATCTCTCAATAGGACTATTCGAATTAGGGTTTCGAAGTCTCGTAAAATGGAATTCGATTTTATGTAAAGTACATAAATCTGTTACTCATCCTGCAGAGATACACCCATAAGTTCTGCAGTAATCTACTCATTTGTACTTGAACTACTTGTTACATAAACCTAAAATTTATCAAGTACAAACGAGTGGATTGTTGTGGAACCCATGGGCGGACCTCTGCGGGACGAGCGCAGCGAGTTCCGCAGCCATCTATTTATCGATATGCTTTCCAAGTACGCTACAAACCTGATTCATTCAGTTGTGAGTTTTTGTCATTACTTAGTTCAAAAACTACACGTTTCAGGTGAGTGTCTTACTTAAACAATTCAATAGTATATTGGTAAGTAGATGGTAGAATGTAATCTCTCAATAGGACTATTTGAATTAGGGTTTCGAAGTCTCGTAAAATGGAATTCGATTTTATGTAAAGTACATAAATCTGTTACTCATCCCGCAGAGATACACCCATAAGTTCTGCAGTAATCTACTCATTTGTACTTGAACCACGTGTTACATAAACTTAAAACTTATCAAGTACAAACGAGTGGATTGTTGTGAAACCTATGGGTGGACCTCTGCGGGACGAGCGCAGCGAGTTCCGCAGCCATCTATTTATCGATATGCTTTTCAGGTACGATACAAACCTGATTCATTCAGTTGTGAGTTTTTATCATTAGTTCAAAAACTACACGTTTCAGGTGAGTGTCTTACTTGAATAGTTCAACAGTGTATTGGTGAGTAAATGGCTGCGGAACTCGCTGCGCTCGTCCCGCAGAGGTCCACCCTTCCACCCATGATTTCCGCAATAATCCACTTATTTGTACTAGTAATGTTACATAATGTAACAAGTTAGTCAAGTAGAAATGAGTGGAGGAACTGATTTTGGAAAGTTATAAAATATAAAGTTCTGGAAGTTTTATAAAGAATTTTATGTCCTTTTTAACAGTGTATAATTTATTCTGATTTGTTTAATGAAAATTTGTAACACCCTGTATAAACCAAACTAAGCAAGCCTGCACATTAAAAATTAAACCTAATGGATTTTTCCATTATTAATCATCATGGGTATGCGATACAATTACAAATGGGTAAAAACCAATCAATATTATTTTAAATTAACATGGACTTACCGGTCGAAAATGTCACCGCTGTGCGCATATTTCTGGATGCGCAGCAAAGGGCTCAGCGAAGCGTCTTCTGGGAGGGTGCGCGTCGTTGATGCGCAGTCGCCTTGTTCGAAACCTACAAGAGAAACTACAAATTTTTAGAAAACTAAAACAAGGATTTAGGTCACTGCTTACATACATGGTGACACAATAAGTATCTAACATTTAAGGCAGATACACATTAATTTTTGAGTCACCTTGTATTCAAACAAATTTATTTAAAAATCTCACTCATTTACAGGGTGTTTTTTCTTCCACAAAAATAATTCCTAAAAATAAATTATCGTATCTTTACTAAGAAATCGTGTCCGGTCCTGGAAAGAATAGGACAAGGCATAAGGGCCGATAGAGAAGAGATTGGTCCCAAAAGCACTTGTCTCCTAAAAGCCATCTTGGGTCGATAGGATTGTATTTCAAAGAAGGGAAAAATAAGTTTGTGATTTCAATATTTCAAATAATAAGCTACAACTACATTATTTTCATGATTTTTCCAAAAAAAAAAAGTTTGTATTTTTGCTAAAAGGGTGTAAACTTCAACAACCAAGATTACGACGACATAATCCAATCAAAATTCAATAAACATTTACCTGTAGTGATTCAAAAACAAATATAATAACGCGTCAAAACACTTAAAAATGAGACAAACAACATAACATTCGCCCGGCGAAATCCGCGTGGTTCTTCAGGCCATACACCCCTTTCGGAAACGAAGAAGAGGCCGGGTGGAGTTTTTCGCTTTAGTTCGAAACGTCGCCGTCGTTCGCGCCCCGTTTGGAATCGATGCCGGGCCTGCGCCCTCACTCTGTTCTTCAAGGGTGTGTATGCGTAAAAAGGGAGTAAATCTAGTGTCGGGTTTTAGGGCTTGGACTTGACCTTGAAGGTTCAAATTTTATAGAGAGAAAATGCGTTTTTGTATTATCATTTGCTGCAACTATCAAGGATTTTATGAAAGAAAACTGAAGCAAATATGGACTAGGGTTTTATGCTGTTCTATAGAGAAAGCTTCATCTGAAGTTGGAAGATTTTGCTTGATTTTTCTGATTTTAAAACTTGGCAACTGCGAAACTATTGAAGCTGCATTGCATTGAAATTCAACTAAGTATAACATTGAAGGATGTTTTTAATTCTTGAAAAATTGCATCGGAGTTTTACAAGAGAAACATTTCTAAAACATTCCAAAGCATTTTAAAAAACTTCAGAATGCTCTAGAATCAAGTTAGAACATTTTGAAGTATTTTAAGATGCTCTAGAGCAATTCAGAACTTTGATAAGCTTCTTTAATTTAATTTCCAATCCTCCTGCATTTGTTTGAGACAAATTGGAACTTTTAGTGTCATTCTAAAACGTTACAGAACATTTAAGAACCAATTAGAACACTTTCGAAATTTCGGGAACGTTTATGAGAAAACTTGAGGTTAAAAGATTATCATAGATTTGTTCAGGGTGAAGTACCATTATGCAGAGCAAGTGAAAGGACTCCTTTTTTTCATATGCTCTGTTAGGATTAAAGTTTGAGTTTAGATTCCGGGAGTACTTTGGAATACTCTAGAACACTTTACAAGAACAATTTTATTAAGAAATAGAGCAAATTTTTATGTAAAGTTATGTGTGGTTCTCTTAGAGAAATTATGGAAATATTCTCAAAAGCCTGGCACAGAAAGTAAATTGATTTTCAGTAATTTTTCATGTTATGATTTTTTATTGGAAAAATCTGAAACTTTAGTATGATGAGCTTCTAATTGTGTTGTTTTTATCCTGAAAGTTTCAAAATTTTCCTTTTCCTAGTTTTTCAGAAAAATATTAAAGTGTAAGAGGATGTATGTATTCTTAAAAATACCAACTATGAAAGTTGATTTTACAGGAATTTCTCATAATATGATTTTTTTTGGAAAAATCTGAAATTTTAGTATGATGAACTCCTAATTGTCTTCTTTTTCCCCTAAAAGTTTCAAAAGTTTCTCTTCCCTAGTTTTTCCGAAAAGAAACTATAGGTACATATTCAGGGTTGATGAAAACTTTCTATTGGGCTTTTGGGTTTTTGAAATAGTTTTCAAGTTTTTGCAAAATTATTTTTCTTTAGAGGCTCTATAGGAAACACTCAAGAGCCTGGAATAGAGAAAAAATTATTGAGAATAGAGTTGAAAATAGAGCAAAAATAATCCAAACTTTGGAATTCCAGAGAAGCCAATACAATTTCAAAGAAACTGCTGAGAAAGTACAAAAAGAGTTTCAACAAAATAATAGAGCAAATTTCTTTTTAGAGAAATTATAGAGACACTCAAGAGCCTGGAATAAAAGAAAAATGAGCCAAAATAAAGTGGGAAATAAGCCTAAAATCACAACAAACATCGTTTTAATAAGAAGGTACCTTCTTCTTCTTCTGAATTAGATTTTGTAAAACTTTGAAAGGTCATAACTTTTTTTCTGTTATGGATAGAAAGCTTAAACTTTCACTGAATTTTATCCCTTTCAAAGAACTATAATCCCTGAAAATGTCAGCTCATTTGCACTTATAGTTCCTGAGATAAAATCCTATTAAGCAATTTGGGGTGATTTATCAATTTTTCAATTTTTCTGAGTGCCTTTTTTCATAGATTCCGGCTTCAAATCTGAGAATAATTTAGTGTATGGAGTTTGGGGTATGCTGATTGACCATTAGGATACAAAATCTTGACAAAAAAAATTTGAAATTTCATCGTTTTAGTAAGAAGGTATCCTCCTTATGATTTTTTTGGAAAACTTTGAAAGGTCATAACTTTTTTTCTATTATAGATAGAAAGCTGAAACTTTCATTGAATTTTATCCCTTTCAAAGGACTACAATCTCTGAAAATCATTCATCTCATTTGCATTTATAGTTCCTGAGATAAAATCGTGTTAAGCAATTCGGGTTGATTTATCAATTTTTCAATTTTTCTGAGTGCCTTTTTCCATAGATTTCGGCTTCAAATCTGAGAATAATTTAGTGTATGGAGTTTGGGGTATGTTGATTGACCATTAGGATACAAAAACTAACCAGAGATTACTTACAACTTAGAGATACACATTTTGATAAATATTGCTCTCTTGGAGTATTTTATTGAAATAAGTAGAGAGAATACTTTAATCAAAAATCAATATTTAGACTGTTCTAAGTATCTGATTGGTCTTGGAAAAATAATTCAGCCAATCAGTAAACCAGTAACAATCAAAATTTATATTATTACAGGGTCTTGATTTGCTGAAAAATCAAAAGGCAGTAATAATCAAAACTTGGATACATCATAACTGGTAAATGTTCTCTTTAGGGAAAAATTATGGATCAACTGGTAAGTGTCTGGTTGTTACCTACCAGGTACTTTCTATTCTCTAGTGCACAGAAAATACCTGCTAAGTAACAACCAGATGTTTACCAGTCAGTCCATAATTTGGCCCTTAAAGAATAAGATGAATCGTGAAATTGTTTTTAAAGTTTGTGAAAAAATTATTATAAAAGGATTGCATATAAGTTTTGATACTCACTGCATAATCTGTAGAATTGTAAGGTCCAGTTTCACATATATACTAATGCTTAGTACTAACGTATACCACTCATAGACGACTGCGCATCTTTCTGCGCATCAGAATAAAAGAAGATAGAAGAATCGGCCATTTTAACGTATGCTTTGACATTAATAAAATAATATACCAAATTCCATTGGTAGAACCAGTACAGAAAAAATGTATTTTTATCTCTTTCTTATACAAATTGGTAAAAAAAGACACGAATACACTTACACCCAGTGCGCATAACCCTTCCAATGGAATTCGCTATAAAAGTTACAGATTACTGTAATAATGTCCTGCGTTATTGACATTTGACAATGTGATCTGACATTATATTCAAATATTGTTTATTGTTTTGTTTATAATAAATATCTATTATAGTATCTAAGATACTGTATCTTAAAGATTTTTATTTTTTGGCAAAGTATCTAGTATCTTAGTTAGATAAGACTGGTTCAAATAGTAGATAATACGTAGATGGTAGGTCTCGGTCTGTTCTGGTCTCAAGAGTCTCTGACAATTTGTTAACTGTCAGTAAGTATTGCCCATGTACATGTTTTCAATGCCGTCATCAACTGTATTCTTTTTATACCTCAAGTTTCACCAAACGTTTCGCTCTAGAGCTCCTCGGAGTCACTCCAAAACACAAAATTCGATATTATCAATATTTTTTAATATCAACATTGCCTAAAAGGGCTTCTTGCAACCCACGCAAATTTAGTGCATCAGGGAAAAAGGGGATGCACTATGAGCGACTCGAGTGCTTACACACTTTTAAAAGGAACGTTCAAGCTTTTGACATTGCGCAGCTCCGAAGAACTCGACAAGTAAAAGGGATAATGGCCGAGTTCGTTTTTGTCGTCTATTCCGTCGATCTGCTCCAAAATTTTGACAGGCACGTGATTTGTAAACTGAACGGTCTTATCCAGTCACGTGCCTGTCAAAATTTCGGAGCAAACCGACGAAAAAGATGACAAAAACGAACTCGGCTACAGTAGTTGCTGTCAATTCAAAATAAATCGGTAACACTTAGATGACCTGACAGATTGTTTCTGACAGGTTGCAAACTGTCAGAGACTCCTGTGAGAACACACCTTACAGAATTTCTGCGAGTTAGCTCTGTTACAACCAACATGAGAACCGTTCTAGAACGGTAATTTCCAGTCGATCAATTCATTTGTCAAATAGGATAAACGTTCAACTTATGAAAAATGGGTTGGCAACTGGTTCTGGAACGGTTCCACTGTCGGTTGGAACAGAGCTGTATTAAGATATGTTTGGCCAGTAAAGCTGAAGTACTATGTACAAGTAAAGTCATGATAATATCCCGATTCCTGTTTATAAGGAAAATATTGTCGACAATGGTTTTTTCGAATTTGAAGAAAACAGTGTTCATGTGGAGCAATCCGCCGATATGAGAAGCTGTATTGGTTTACCAATAAACTCGAGAAGAATTGAACCTTCTCGAATTTGGGATTTTCATACTATTAAAAATCTTGTTTTTGAACTTGTGGACAGCAATAGCTTCATCGGTTTTTCCGCCTGCTATTCG